CTCTGAACGATAAGCTTGGAGGTAACACTGTGGAAAGCTATACATGGCCGGTGGCATCAAATGCCCGTCTGCTGTGGCCAGTTCCACGGTGTTCGTCAGCTCGTTCTTCGCACTCAGCATGCCTTGTTCTCCAAAGGCCTCAATGCGCTGGTCATAGCCGTAAGATGCATCCCGGCTGGTGTCGACCATGGCTATGAGGCCGCTGGAATACTTGAACATCACTGCACAAGTATCCAAATCACCCATGGCTCGAATTTCTGGATGGTAGCTGTGGCCAATGGCAGTCACGGCTTCCGGCACTTGGCCTCCGAGGAAGTCAAGCATGTCAAAGTCGTGGATGAGCATGTCATGAAAAATTCCGCCACTGGTCCGGAGGTACTCCATTGGAGGAATGGGATTGTCACGGCTGCATGTTTTGAGGACCTTCAAGTTCCCGATGGCTCCTGCATCCAAGCTTTGCTTCAGTGCACGAAAGTGCCGATCAGCACGTCGCTGGTATCCGCAAACGGAGGCCAAGTTCTTACTCCTTGCTAGTTCAACGGCCTCTTCAACCTCGGCCAGCTCATGAGAGATGGGCTTTTCAGCCAGAACTGCTTTGTCAGCACAGAGCGCCTTCATGATGTACGGGAAGTGCGTGTCGGTGGCTGATGCCACAATCACGGCGTCCACGGCATCTGGCCCTTGGAGTGCTTCATCTAGATCAGTGGACCAGTGGCAGCCCCTCTCAGCTGCAATGCGCTCAGCCTTCACTGCGTCCACGTCAATAACCCATGCCAAAGAGACAGACCCTGCAAGTTGGAGGATGGACTGCATATGGAAGTGTCCCGCTCGTCCAAGGCCAACGAGGGCCACCTTCACAACCTCGTTCGTCATGAAGCCACTGGAGCGCTGATTTCCTACACTGACCTTTACTTGCAGACAAATGCCTTCAGTCATTGAAAAAGTCTAGGAATCTTGAGACCAACGAGAGGCTCTGTGATCTCTTGTGTGCTTCAATTGCATAGCAGCATAGCACAAGGAAAAGCATAGCACAAAACCTCTGCAACGAAAAAGAACATGCAGCATGCAGCAACGACTGTCATGACTGTCACTTGGTTTCCACTCATGGAGCCTGGTTTGTGGAAGGACAGTCCAGAGAGCTTTCTCCCTTTCGGGTCTACTGATCCATTTCTTGTACCTCCAGCCACAGAAAGGTGCCGAGCTACTCGGTTCACGGAAACAACTCGTTTCTCACGCTGTGTCCATGTCTCTGTTGCGTGTAGTTGCTGTGAAAATGGGAAACGCAGAACGCCGCAAAGACTCTGACGCATCCGCAGGACGCCGAGTGAATTCAATCAGATCTTCGGCCTTCGGCAAAAGGAACCTTGCTCGCAAGTCCTGAACTTGGATCTGTCCACAGCGGCTGCTGGCAAAACCTGGCTGCAAAACAGCGTCGGTGACCCGGACAGAATTTCTGAGGCCAGGTAGAAGCTTGGCGATCTCATGCAGTGTAAACGTTTGTACCCTTCCCTAGGCTGGCAGCCAACACTTCCAAGTGCTACAAGTATACACCTTGAAATGCTATGCGTTACTTGGTGACGCGAGTTGGTGCCACGACTTCTCGCCATCACGCGACGAACGCGGCACGCGGTCCGCGTGGCTCAGTCCGTCACTGTGAGTGCCAGGATCAGAAACACCCAGGACATTCGCCTGACCACCTGGACGAGTGGCGAATGAGCCCGGCTTGAGTGGCTCATGGCCGAGCCATCCCATGGACCGAGCTAAGGATGGTGTTGTCTTCTTCTCCTCGGATAAACCTAGGATTGGAAAAGTGCCCTTCTCAGACTTACTTATATTACAATCAATAATCATATATCTGTGGTAGTGCATCTGCCTATAAGTTCTTTTGGTGAGACTCTTCCCTAAGTTCTTTGGATGTGGTATTGGCACACGTCTCAAGTTGCGGCCTCCATTGCACCCAGGACCGACGCCCCGCCCCAAAGCTTGAAGCCTATTCAGCATCGGCGTGAACACTGAAGTCCAAGGTCACCTAATAGCAATGGCCTCCAACCTACTAGCCTCGGGCCCTTGAGAGCCAATGCATCCAAAATCATCCAAGCATTCAGTGTGTGTGTGCGTGTGCGCGCGCGCATCTTTTCTTAGATGCTTCGCCTGTGCGAGTGCATCTTTGGCAGCCGCAATCTGATGCATCCGGACATCGGCGCAAAGGTGCCACCCTTTGGTAGCGATCATGCAGAGATCAAAAGAAACATCGCCGATGCGGAGAACATGTGGACCTCCCCTCTCGAAGCAAACCGACTACAACAATTCAGTCGTCCGGAAAGAAATGATCATCTGGAACGGATTCGGTTCCCATGACCGTTCCTCACTTGATAGCCTCATATCACGAAAACTCGCCAAGAATGGAAAGGACAACTAATGCCAAAACTGAACAGGATAGGGTTGCAAACTTGCCTAATGAGGTGGGTAAGTAAGCGGTGGCTGCAGGTTGTCTGCAGTGGGTCAAGGAAAACCACTTGTGAAGCTCCCATCAAGCTGATAATCTGCACTTTAAGAATTTGCCCAGAAGCCGCTCCCACATTACAAGACTGGCGATTTCGAAATGGCCAACTACCTGGATCCAAACTTTTACTTCTCAACAAAGCATCCAAACATGTCAAAACCTCCCATTGACTCAGCTTCGTTCCAATGTGTTAACATGTTCGGGTGTCCTTTTAAGAGCCCAGCCTTTGCGGAAGCTCTCCAGCATCTCGGCCTGCGGGGGCTGAACAAGCACCGAACAGGGTCAGACTCCAAAGCAGCCCTCCATAGATCCGGTGCCATCCGATTTGGTGAGGATGTTATGACTTATGACTACTGGTAGCGTTCGGACGCTACTAGTAACAAAGGGCATCGCTACGAACGGAGCAAGGACGCTGCACGCTACTAGTAGCTCCTGGCATTACTACTAGGAACAAGGACGCTACTAACAGCAAGGACACTATTAGGTGGAGGCCATCGCAAGTAGGTTGGATGCCATCGCTACTAGTAACAAGAAGCTACTAGTAACTAGTAACAAGGGGACTAAGCGCCTCCGGAAAGACTCTGAAAGGCAATCGGATATCAGTGAGATCAGCGCTCTTTTTCGCATGGGTGAGACACGGGTGGGTAGTGAACCCAAAAAGGACATGCCGGAATTCCCGTGAAACCAATCACTGCCGCGCGACCTGGACAGAGGCAAGCATGTGGGGGCCAGCTGATCGGTTCATGTGTGAAGACCAAAAACATGAACCGAATGAACCGATGTTTTTCGTATGTTGCCATGTCTTTTGTGAGAGAAATGAGCTATTAGGCAGCCGTAAAGTGACACACAAAAACTCAGATCGCGTGGTTGTAAAAGACAGAACATCCAGAGAACCCCATCCACACCTCATCACACCTCCGCATCCGCCTCAAGCACCATCAAGCACCTCCCTCTCGGGCCAGGTCTGAGGTACTTGCCTGTAGCCACACCAGCTTGAGACTGTGGGGGGCATAGCCTTTGGGCTATGTCAAGGTGTTTCACGCTTCGGGCGATGTGGAGCTGTCCACGCCTCTCCTGGCTCACTGGAGGCAGCCTGAACTGAAGCTTCGGAGAAAAACTTGGGGGTGCCACAGGCAAATGAGTCACACAAACATCCAATGAACTTCTTGAAAGCCCCTGTTGTTAAGACTCATAATATCTGTTTACAAGTTCACGTTTTGATGTTTGGCCGAAAAGGTGCCGAAGGATGAAATCACTGTGTTCTTAGAAACAGGACCATAGACTTAGAAAGTCTCAGGTCAAAAATTGCATTGTTGCCTTGGCCTCGATGCACAATTCGTTCACGAAATGTCCAAAGCCATCAGTAGGAGAAATGCAGGAAGAGATAGGAAACGGATGGAAAAGGCGTGTTTGTTGGTGAAAGTTTCAATTGATTTCTTTGGTCTTGTGTATCCACTAGAGTTTCTTCGCCGTGTCGGGTCCAGCCTCTCGAAACTTGCTGGGATCCAGCGTGGACGTCTTTTGCATCTGAAGTATGGCAAATGATGAAAGGGAGCAAACGTGCCGCTGCGTCTCCAAAGCTTGCCCAAATATCGGTTCTAAAAAAAATAAAACGTCCGCGATGGCTGTCAACTCGACCCAAATACAGGATAGGAATACTGGATCTGTTGGATCTATGGCCGCACTTCAGCACTTCGGTCGCGGGGTCGACCGACCATGGTCATCCCGCGGATCTGTGATTGCCACTGGAAGGCATGCAGGATCTGTTTGAGGCAAATGGTTCCAATTTGGCAAGACGAGATATATTATATATACAAGATGACAATATATATATATATGTGTATGTATATGCATTAAGGGTTGGCCAACTAGACAAGTGAACTTTTGGACTCCCGCACTGCAAAAAGGGCTTTTAAGGCCAAACCGTGCTCTGAGTCTCTGGCACTGCCCCGTTGGGCATTCTGCAAGCCCTGACCCAAGGTGCTGTGTAGCGTCCGTTGCTCCTCCTCATCCGAGACTCGTGGCAAGCCACGGCAGAGACTCGTCTCTTTTTTGCTACAGCAAAATCTCTGAAAGGTACAATGTACAGGTCGGTCAGTTATTATTGGTCAGTTAGGATTGTGCAACAGTTACAAAAGCATATTGACAATACGCATGGCAGGTTTGCTGCAGCTGCCTCCTGTTGAAGATACACTTCATACGCAGATTCAAATTCCTGCAGCAAGAAGGTGATGATTGCCGACGAGATGCGGTTTCATGTTACAATGCCCTACATCAATCGCAAACAACACAAAAGCCATCAAAACAGCTCATTTCTAAAGCAATGCTGCTTGGAGTGAAACTTCGGTGGAAATGTGCTCTGTCCAGGCACTGGGACCGCCGAACACAAGCCGCTCTTCTGAAGAGAAGAATGATCGAGAGCACCCGCATGCTGAGCATGCTGGATGTCTTTTGAAGTTTGACAACTGCAGAAGTTGCATCGGCAGACGTTCTGCGGTCAACTGCAGAAGTTGGAGAAAATACAACACTCAGGCGTTCGTTTCCGTGTCGGCCGGGTCTCGTCCTTCGGGTGAGGACGAAGAGGTGGCAAAAAGCTCTCACTGGACGGCAAGAAGGGCGGACGCTTCAACGATTTCTGCGCTGACTCCCTGAGTGTCCATTTCTCTTCCTTTGTGCGACAGCAAGAGCAAAGGCATTTTGCTATGATGAGGACGACTTGCATCAAGCCATAGATGACCAGAATGAGGTAGATACTCCACAAGAGTAGCTCTTGTGGCCTTCGGGGAATCCGTCCCTTCTGCCGTGGCAAAAGCTCTTCCAGCTCATCGATCGTGGAATTCACCAAGCTCGAGTTCCAACTGCAACTGGACTTCACCAACTCCTGCAACTCCGAAGCTGTGGCGTTCCAGGCCAGGCTCAGTGACGCCCAAAGCTCCTTGACGTCCTTTGTAGCAAAAATAGATGGAATCCAAAGAAACAAAAAAAAGGAACGGAAGGCATCGGTCGTCCCAAGTGGTGACACAGCAGAAACATCTACATGTCATATACTTTCATTTACATAGCAAGATTCACATGTCTACATTGGCAAATCGGTTTTGAACAGCCAATAGAAGTCCTCCTCGCTTATGCCCACCTGCCGATACAGCTCAGGCATCGCTTGCAGCGCTGGACGTGTTACGTTAACCACAATCTCGGCACAATACTCTTGATAGAGCGCCATGATCAGATCGAAGGTCTCGTAGAGCATCGTCAGCTGCAGGATGGGCTCCTGACGAATGCCCAAGTGTGCAGCTCTAATTTGACCTTTTCAATTGAATGTTGCAAGTCATATGATGATGTTGGCAAGACTATATATACAAAAATGGCCGGCGATGCTGCTCCTTTGTCTCATCACCAGCTGCAAAAGCCCCAGCTGCGCAGCTTGCAAGTAGGAATCTCTGTATCGGCGACAGGAGGAGAAGCTCCATCTTGGCGGCTCGTCTTATACACCACACTGCCTCACCCTTTGTGTGCTGGATTTGGATTTGGAGGGGCACTTCTGGCACTTCCGTCCAGTGGATAGCCAAAAAGCAGATTGGCGGTTTTGCCCAGTGTTGCATGTTGTCCAATGAAAAAGACCCCTGGTGTGCAGCTTGGTTTTGTGGAAGAGGACTGTGACAGGGGTCCTCCCTCCTGTCCTCAACCTCTTGTTTTGGCCGCGTGTCCTTCACTTGAGTCAAAAAAGGCAGCATTGCTATTACAGCATATCGTCGGGCAGCGATGCTTGTTGCTTTTTACCGGTCCCCTCTCTTCATACCTCGGACATCCGAGGGGACCTACTCGGACCTGGGATTCTCAAGGCGGATCCGTTCGGTCATGAGACGAATAACGTCCAATGATGAGGTGGTGGGGCTCGCTGCAATCAGTTCCCCATCCCACCAATTTTAGAGATGAACCCTGTCGCTTTTGGGGCTGGCAAAATATCAGCAAATTGAACTGCTCACATAAATGCAACCCTCCTACACTTATGTCACTTATGTCTGTGTGTGTAAAGCATTTAGCGCTTACAGCAGTCACCAACAAGTCGAGGACATGCATTGAACAGCTTGGACCGAGCCTGGAGCTTCTGTTCAGTGAGTTCAGGGTACCTAGCCACGGAGCGTGCGGCTTGGTTCGGCGCGATGCAGTGACAGCACAAAAGTTGCAACCTTTGCACTGGCGTGATCAACTAAATCCAGATCTTTCGAAAGTGCTTGCAACTCTAAAAGTTGTCCACCCCACGAGAACGGGCACTCGATGAACTGCCGGAATTCAGTAAATGTCCTCTTCAGAGGGGACGGTGGAGGCTCAACCTAGGCAAAGTAAGCTGTCGTTTGCAGAACATGCCAAAACTGAAACCAACCTGCTGCCTCTTGAACCTTGGACTAAAGTTGTATGTCTGGGCTGCTTTTTGGCTTGATGGACATTCCTTTGGCCAATACGAATACGACTGGCACAAGTACTTGTACTTCAAAACGCAGAACTTGAACTTTCAGTCAAGGGCACGCAAGCATTAGGCTTGTTATACCCCCGTTGCTGAAGTGAGGCATGAGTGTGTTGCTTGCTCGAGTTTCGGTCGAAATGACAGAGAAGTAAACTGTTGATCTTTGGTAGATATGAGCAAGCTTTGCCATACAGAGAAGAATCGTCCGATTTTGATAGCCAAGGGGATGACCTAGTAATCATAGACGAGTGACGAGTCTGGCAAAAACGCATGTGTTTGGGCGTCTGGCCTGGGATATCCATCTTCGCACAAACTAACAAAGGGCCCGGCAAAGCCACAGATGCCATGAGGAAGCTCCAAGGGCCTTCATGGCCAGATGCACAGTCAACACTGAAAAGGCCAAGCACACCTCGCGCCTGAAAACAGCTGGTGAAACCAATTACAGTAGTTCATTCGTGTGATCTGTGATCAGCAGGCTACCCCGGGACGTTGACCTGAGAAAGATTCAGGCTCTCGACGAACTCAATCTTCCCTAGCTTAGCGAGCTTGGCAGTCATTGCTTCCCCCCTGCTGACGCTGTGAGGCACTGCGGGGGTACTGCTGAGCCTCTTGTTTGCACTTGGAGACTGCCTCATCTTGCCCCGCGAACTGGGGCTGTTCCACAAAAGAAAAGTAATGTGTTCATGTACCCGCTCGGCAAGCCGGTGGCACAGTGGCCTCATTGGCACATTCACTGGATCCATATGCATGATCCTGCTAGGGCCGGACGGACACACCAGTAGCTCGATCACAGTCGATCAACCCCAAGAAAAACAGCCTGAAACACTGCGAGATCAATGCACCAGCTAGAGTCCTGTGGATCGAGTGAGTCTTGCAACAGCTCATTGGCCATCCCATCTTCTCCCCTTCAACCACCTTAGTCCGCAAAGTCGGGCCTGATCATGCCTGATCCCTTTCAAGTAGGGATAAACAAAGGATACAAACAACTCTTTTTTTCGGAGAAGTTGTTGGATTCTCGGGAACAGGTTGTTCCCTAGCTGTGCCAATGGAGTCTATGGAGCGGCTGCATCCACGGCTGCATGCTAAGTCCAGCGCCAAGGTATGAGGATCCTTCCGTGCCAGGCGTATAGCCTTGAAAAAGCATGCCCATGACGTTCACAGTGTGACATGGGGACGACAGCAACCAGCAAGTAGCAACGGTCTGGATCGGCTCTAGGACGGTCTGATCACGGACAGAGCCCAAGAACAAAAAATGACTTGGACACTCTCTCCACTCAGTTTCTCAGCCAGTACTCCCATCCACTCCCTTCTTCCTCCTCGAAATCTCTTCTCACGAGCAACTCCTCGGCCTGATGGGGCAAGGCCAAGCTGGCATGCCCGAGGAAAGGTTCAATTGACTTGCTGTTTTGTAGAAGCAAAGAGGCGGAGGCACTTGCCTTTCTTCACACTTTTCTACAGTAAGTGGTAGCGTTCTTGTTTTGTTTGTAGTACGAGTCCGAGGCCCAAGACCAACGAATCGCCACAGGCTTATGTTGTTCGCTAGCCGTGCACCGACGACACGTCCGACACGTCGGACACCATCGCCTCCCCATCGCCGTAGACGATAAAAAGTCGCGGCTGAGGTGCCTCGAAGACACAAATTGGTCCACACATGCAAGGATAGGTTCGGCTCCTGATCGTCCTGTAGGGGTGCTTGAAGCAGCCAGAAGGTCGACTCCAGGACCCCTCGGGATTGGATGAATACACGTGGATGTCATTGGAAAAGAAGCATTGGTGGATATCTCGGTCACAATAGGTCAAAGCAAAAATGAAACACCCTGCGTGGTCACATTGAGGATAGGGCTCCTGCATGACATCGATTTCACACAAAGGTGTTCGAGTATGTTTAACGTTGCACGTATGCATCCACAGACATATCACACGATTAAATTGGCCATATCGCAGGGTAGGACGCAATCTATTGAGATCCAGGTCGTCCATGGTCGGTCCAACTTGGTCTTGCTCCACATCTTCCACATTACTTACTTGAGGGCAACAAAGGCGGCCGCCTGCTCTGGAAGTGGCAAAAAGGAGGCGTCGGGGTGCTTGAAAGGCTTCTGTGGGCATACACCTCATGGCACAAGAATGTTCGCTTTGAAGACAACGTATTGTTCACTGAAATGGATTGCGAATACTAGATGAGTAGACGTACAAACGAAGGTAGAAAGATCCAGCTTTTTGCCCAGCCATGGGCAGCCGGATCGCAGCTTGGAAGGGTGGGTCAAACCATCTGGGCACTTTCTTGTCAAGAAATGCTTCAACCACTAACCTATTCGATCTGTAAAGCCTACCTGAAGGGTCGAACAAATCTCGAGCAAATCTGCGCTGCCGACATCTTGGCGATGCAAAGTCATCTCCCATGGACACAGAGAGCTTGAAGTCCAAAGACTGATCCCCCTTCACCTGGCGGTCTCCATGCTGTGGAAAACTCCTTGAAACTCAAACTTAGGACAAAGCCTGTTGCATGAGCTTGTTGTCAGAAGAGCATCAAAACATGCTGTCGAACAATGCAGTTGAGTTTGATTGAAGTTAAAGGTCACATTTTGCATCAGTTTGTGGCATCATCCGTGGTAGCTTCCGCCAAGCTGGGGATTTGGGAGGCATTTCAGCATTCCGCTGCCTCGAAGTGATTGCCATCATCATCCCGCAAGTAAATTCGATCATAATCTACTTGCGCCATGTACACGCATCCCTTGTCCTGGCCAGCATGCCCTCCCTGCGGTCTGATAATTTCAAGCCTCAAAGTCTTCCAGTCGCATAAAGCACAGTCGGGCAACCAAATCCAGCGAACAACCTTGAAGACTGCCTGAAAGGCACAATCTCTGTCCTGCAGCATCTTCAACGCTTTCTCGCTCTCTCCCCCGACTGCGGCAATATCCTGAAAAGGTAGACAATCAATCTGCTCTGCAGAGAATGCTCAAAATGGACTAGACTAGAGACTTGAAGATTACATGTCCATTCTTATTCAGGATGTTGTTTTCCATGTGTTTGTTGCCACTGGCTCCATGGTCAGGGCAACAAAAAGCGCTCTCCAAGCTTCAACCGGCGACTTCGATTCCTTCGCATCGATCGAGGATTTGCTTGCCACTGAGACGAGGGGGGTTGACATTGCTACCTCGACCGAATCCCAGAATTGGTTTGGGGTTGAAAATCGACAGGAAACCCATAATTTTGGGGTTGAAAAGAATGGTTTCCTGTAGATGTTCCCCTTGAACATCCTCAAGCTAATTCTGGGACAGAAAGTGTCTCACTTGCATCAAGACTTGACCCATGTGCATTGTTGAATGTAAAAGTTCCCGTGCGCAATGTGCCGAAATGCTTTTTCACAGGGTTGAACGGTTTCAGAGTTTCACAAACCAAACAATCCGAGCTTTTCACCACTGCAGCCCTTCCTTCCTTGGCTTTTTTCACCACCCAACGAGGCCCTCGCAATGCCACTCACCAGCTCCACTTCACCGGCGCCCTGAGGGTGTTGGAACCGGTCACGCCGAACGAACGCAAAAGGGCGAGAGCCTCAGGGGGGGGCAGTCTGGCCATGAGTGGTCTTTGTTGCACAGTGGTCTTTGTATTCCCGCTCAACATCGACAGAGAAGGAGTCCAGTTGAAAGACTACAATCTTACCCAGTCTTTGCAAACCTTGCCTTGGAGTGAACTAGTGTTCCTTCAGGATGGCGCAGAATCACTGAGGCGTTTGTGGAGAAGCTCTCCTTGCTGGTGATCAGCACTCATATACAGTAGATGAAACATGATGGAATGACATCACAGCAAAACATGATCGATCCCCAATAGTTGTCACTCATGGCGTGTCTGTCCTCACGTGGATCAGGATTTCGGCCTGAGATGAAAGTCCAGAAAGAATGCGTTTATTTAGAAAAAGTCCAGCAAAGTGGCATCTGCCATGGTGGCACATAGGCTAACACTCAAAAACATCTGCTATGCATAGCTGTTGTTGTTCCAGGAAGTCTCCGGAACATCTGCTACAAAGCCAATGGTTAGCAATGGTTCTGTTTTTTTTGCAATAGCTCCAGGATGCTCCAGTAGGTCGTGCCCCGTTGGGGGAAAAACAGGTGCTGTTCACCGTCTGAACGACCTGCTGCGGGGCCGAGGAGCAGAACTCATGCTGATTCATCTGGGCCTGCTGTTGCGCAATTTCCAAGGCAGGGGACACCTGAAGCGAGCTGACAGGGGTGATGAACCGAGGCTGCTGGAATGATCGGACAGAGCTTAAAGTGGCCTCCATGTGATTGATTCAATTGTTTCCTCATGAGTTTGATCACACAATTAATGTTGGCTGGTGTTTCTCCCAAAGAACCCAAAGAAACTCCCTCTATATTGTTCAGGTCCTGACATGCTGGGACATGATGGTATTTCAGAATTCAAGGGAAACTTCATGAGCTTCATTCGAGGGAAACCCACCCTGAAAACACTCTCTGAATTTCAGGCGGCACACGTCATCCTCTGGCTCGCCCCGAAGCTTGGCCAGGAAGGTATGAGGGTCAGCAGAGACCAACTCTGCCTTGAGGTTTAGCCTGGCTGTTGGGGGCGAGCATCTCATCACTGGTCTGCATCGGCTTCACTTCGTTTCACGTCGTGGGGGCCAAGCGTCGTCTGTTTGGGTTTAGCCTATCACTTCATGCAGTACCCAACTGGCGCTTTGGTGTGGGTAAAGGAGAAAAGCATCGCCATTGGGCACGAAACTTGGGTGGATGATGCATTTGTTCTTTTTTGCAGGGAGACATGTCCTACATCATGTTAATTGGGACATCAAGCGCTTGATCTTCATCTCGACCTGCAATGAAAAATGCCCTTGCCTTGGCGAAGTCAAATCACAAAACCTAGATCCAGAGTGTAGGTCAAATCCACAATTTGCCAACCCTCTGCCATGCATTGGTGTTTTTGTGTGCATGTGTGCGCCCTCCTCTCATTGTGAGCTGTTGGGCAATTTGATTGGCAAGATACTCGCTGACCGTGCATGATCACCAGGTCAGGTTCGGCAAAGAAATCAAACCGACTCGTTTTGCTGCGCGTGCACGACACCCGGTCGAGTCGGTTCCGACTTGTGGCGGTTCCCATCGACATGACGGCAAGGCGGTGAAGTAAACTGATTCAATCAACCAATATCAGATTGGAAAGCGAGAGCGGTGACCTGGTTTGCTGTAAATTTACGGGTTTACAACAAGACTTTGGATGTTTGCTCGATTTATGTTTGGATCTGGTGAGACCACGATGGTTCTGGTGTTAACTTGCTCTTTAGAGTTTCCAAACTCCAACTTTCCATAAATATCGCTACAGTCTATACATGAATCTACATTGTCTCTCTCTCTCTCTCTTTCTCTCTCTCTCTCTCTCTCTCTCTCTCTTTCTCTCTCCGAGCCAATCTCTTCGTATTCGCCAAAGACTGTTTTAAACGCTTATATACTATACTAGAAAAGAGCTGAGAGCGAAGGAAGTGCATGCAATGCAACCCTTAAGGGTGTTGAGGCGTTGAGTCAGAGGTACCCGTGGCCTCTTAGGTTCCTAAACGAGGCATGTTTTGTCTGACGTTGTCTTCGTGTCCGGTCAAGTGGTTGTGCCTTCGAGGGACCACCTCCATCGTGGCTCCATGGTCAATCTCAACCTGCCAGGACTTCGAGCCCCTGACTGGAGTACATGGCGAATGTGGCGAACCGACCATCACCGGAGACCAAATTCTTTGGCATCCAGGTTGTCATTGGCTCCAGCCTTGACCATTGAGTTGGGAACGTAGGCTTTGTCATTGATGAAACATGTCACTCGGGCAGCTCCATCTTTCTCGATGACAACCTGAGGAGTCAGCCAGGAATTCTTCAAAAACCTTCAAACCATCAACAGGCAACGCTTTGGGCCAAGCGCCTGGGTGCCTTCTGCATCTTCCGTTTGCGACATCCTGGTGCCATCAGGAAGGACGCAGAGGTTTGTCCTCAGCCGAAGGACAATGGGAGTTGATGGTTTCATAATGTTTCATATTGTTTCATTGGTAGGGCCAGGAGCTCCTAATAGCGTCCTTGCTCCTAGTAGCGATGCCAGGAGCCCCTACTAGCGTCCTTGCTCCTAGTAGCCATGCTAGGAGCCCCTAGTAGCGTCCTTGCTCCTAGTAGCGATGCCAGGAGCTCCTAATAGCGTC